GAACTGGCATTGCCATCTGTGTCTGTAGGATTTGTTCCCATGAAAGACATTTGAAGAAAACGATTGCCAGCAATATCAAGAAATTTGTTCTCTCCGATCAAAGCTGTTTCTCGAGGCCAGGCACAGTTTGCTGACCTACTTTGGACAAGGATTTATTCCGACATCCCAGGCTACAGCCCGCCCCCTCTGAGGCTGCTGGGAGAGCCCGCGTGCAGCTGCCAATGGGACAGTGATTAATTTGATTGTCACCAGCACAGCTCTGAACATAAGGCTTGTTCAGGAGGCACATAAAAGGAAACTCAGTGCAGTCAGTTGGGTTTTGCTGCTAAGAGAGCGAGGGAAGCAGAAAAACAAATCCCAGCACTATTTAAGACTTCAGCCAGCTGAAGACAAGGCCAGCTTCTCCAGCACAGCGGTGTTATTTGTACTGGTCTGCTGTCACTGGGTGGGTATGGCATGGTTCAACTGGCCTGGGGACGATCACTGATCGTACATGGTTGGTCGCTCAGTGGGTGCGAAGCCACCATAGCTCACCCAAAGCACCAAAAAGTCAGTGGGATCAACGGAGGGAGTATGTCATAGAGGTTCCCTTCTGCTCCACCAGTCAACCACCTGGTTCTTCTTGACTGGTAGACCCTTACACTGGTAGACACCATGAAGGTGCACTGCAGAAACGCGTGGCAAACCAGCAGGCTACAAAGTGGGAGTTTTCAGATCATGAGCTACGCACTGTGCACATCAGCCCCACCCCATGGCAAGGCCTAGGCAAGAAAATCTATGGGTCAAATCATCAGCCACTGCCAACTGGAAGTCTGTTCCTTTACTATCTACAGAGATGTGCGGGTGAAATTATTACAAGACAGCAACTACTTTGAGGCAACTGCAATGACAGTGCAAAGGATACTGCTATAATTTGCAATGTCTAATACGGGTATTTATGATATTGAATCACAGGACTTGATTCCTTATTATCTCGCTCCTTTTGTCATCATTTCACGCTGCTTCAAAGAGACTGCAATGTGGCAAAGTCATCTCTTCAACTAATTTACCAGTAATATTTACTCCTGTTTTGCACATCACTGCTCGAACTGGAATGTGATTGAGACACTTTTAACATCATTTTGTGCTTTCCAACTTCATAGCACAAAGCTGCTTGACCAGACATTCCTGAAGGAGGTGTCATACAGGAGGTAAGATGAGGTTTCAGGACCCTACACTGAGGAACGGAAGACTCCTATAACCATGCCAGTCCAGATCCCAAAATGATACAGTCATTTACCTGTGCAGTAAATGCTCCTCCTAGAGAACAATCAGGCAACGTTATCTATGTTTCAACTGAAGCTGAAAAAAACAGCTGAGTAAAAAGCATTCTGGATAAAATGTTCTTCAGTGGCAGCTATTTGGAGTGCTCACCTGAACAACAGTGTGAGCCTAGCCCTTTTGGGTAAAACCTCGTCTGTGGCAGAGTTTTATGCCAGAGGGTGTATTCAAGGTAAAATTGGGAAATAGCACAAGAAGTTTTGACAATTATAGTGAAGTACACATTCTTACAATAAATACAGAAGAAATATTTTTGCCAGGGATTATTTTGGCCAATAGAAAGAAAAGAATAATACCACATTTCAGTAAAAATACCTGAATGGAGGAAACATGAAATCTACTCTAATCTAGTCTAGTTTGTTAAAGATTGGGATTAATTTCAAGTGTATGGACGTATATGTCCCTATGATAGAACTAGTCAATATCACTTATCTTTTTTCCTGTACCTCTGAATGAGGATTGCCTGCAATTGTTTGCAGGTAAGGAGAGGCTGATTGTTTATCTTACAGGTTCAGATGAGAATTTATCTTCCTCTTGAAATTCAAAGGGGAAAATATAATGCTGCTTTTGGCAGATTACTATCAGAAAACAAAAATTATTTTCCAAGTAGTGATTTCTAGGGTTGTTTTCACTGGAAATCTTGGGTTTCTAAAGAAGAAACTGTTACACAAGCAGTGATGTCTTGAACAAAGACACTTTAACAGTGCTGTGTAAGTACTGCAACCATTATTCATTCTGTTAAAAAGAATTTGGAATTTATAGAAGTTACATCTCCCCTGGCTGGCACAGTTTCATTATTACAAATTAATCCCCTGCCAAAACTGGTTTGTTTTTATCTGATGATCCAAAGCAGTTCCTTTGATAGAACAGTAAAAGAATTTAATCATTTATTTATTAAAGTAAATCAAAATTTGGAAGAGGAAAGAGGCAACAACTGTTTTCTTGTGTGACTTCAAAGATGAAGTACATTGTTATAATAACCAGATACTTGGAGTTTGCTCAAGTTGATACTATTTATATATCAAGATCTAATTAAAACTTAATTTTAAAGAAAATTTATTGGCTGATTTCCCAAAAGCATGTAAGGCTCCTACGGACAATCCAGGTAGTGGGAATCTTTCCAAGTTTTTTCCTTACAGCAATATCATTTTGGGAATGCAAACCTAGCTGTGGGAAAATATTCACAAGTCAAAGTTACAGTCAGTGTCCAGTAATATATAACCATAAATATGATATTAGATATAGGCTGAAAGGTGTGCATTACCTCCCTGATTTTATTTATTTATGCATGTGGTGTTATGTTTGTGTTCTGCCAAGTAGAGTTTGGTAATGATGCAATGTGGACTCTGTCCAAAGTCTGAATTCTTCCCTAACATCAATAAACAGTCTTAAATTTTCCTGCAGTCTGGCATCCCCCACAAAACATCTATTGAATATGACCTGCCTCCAATTAACATGTCGCTCTGAATCACAGCCTCACAGTAAGAATCCAGTGAGCTCAGCTTTTATGGAGCTGAAGCCATCCTGCAGACAACACCAAGATCTGGCCAACATAAAAAGTGGGCAGTGAAGACTAAGGGTGGAATTCAGGATTTCACATTACTGCCATCTCCAATAACATAGGAATAAAAGACCATAAGCAAAACCCCGTAAGTGGACTGCTGGGTACCGATAAGGGTGCTGCGATCCAAACTAGCCACTTGCACAGGGATCTATTAGTTATGAGAAATGTAAAATAGATGGCATAAGTAAACCAAAACTATGGTTCTAACTCTACTCTGTTTTTCAAATTAAGCTCCTGCTTCCTTTTCACATGTTCTATGATCTTTCCTTGTATGATGCCTGTTAATGATTTTTACATCTTGTGTATTTTCTCAGTCTACTAAATTGTAATTGTGTGATGCAAACTTCCAAAGTAATTAGAAGTTTCAGTATGCATAGAGAGACATAAACAAAGGGAACTCCAACACAAATTTTGAAAGAGAAGGCAGGATATTTATATGTCCTGGTAATACCCAAAAGGACATATAAGGTTGATTACACTGGGCATTAAACAAATAAAAATGAGATGTTTCACAAAATGTTTGCAATCTCAGACATCTGAGGGCTGGAATGAACCGATAAGCCAATCCCCATTTCTCTTCAGTCTTAAAACGAATTGGCAGTGGTCTACTTTTTGCTCTATTTCAAGAGATTAGAATCACAGAGAAATGGATCAGATACTTAACTAAACTATTTCCTGTTTTACGTCATTTTCAGTTCCTAACCTTGTTCTGCATCTGTCTTTACTGCATAATATTATAATCCTCATTCTTCTACGTATGTTATCTTTTCTGCCACTTTCATCCAGGCTTCATCCCATGGTATCTTTCTAATTCTTTCCCCAGTACGATTAAGCTAATGAGAGTTTCACAGCACTTCATGGAATGATCTGTTTCACAAGCAGGGTCCTATCTTCAGCTATAGGTATTTTAACAATGACCAGGCAAGCATCCCCACTACAAATAAGTTCCCACAACATGAGTGACAGCCATTCTAAGCACCCAAAAGCAAGTTTCTGCTGTCTGGGAAATACTCCTATGTTTGAAAACCCTAGGGTTACAGTAAAAATTGTAACAGCATGTAAAATTAAATTACTCCTATTATGATAAACCTAAGTTATGTGCATGTTTGTTGTTAAAACAAAGGTTGAATTATTTAGCCCAGCCTCTAAAGATTTCCTGCAATACTGGCACACCATTGCTCCATGGAAAGTTAACATGGTCTTTTTCTAAATACATTGCAAAACAAAAATACTCCACAAAACATCCTCCTCCAGTATGTTCTCCACAAAGCCAATTCACCTGAAGTGTTCAAATTGCTGTCAATAGAAAGCAATGACGATGTACTGCAAAACTCCAAGGAACTATAACAAGGTAAGAGCTTCTTTTAGTGGGCACACGCAACTGAGGAACTGTAGTAGCAGTCTGTAATAATTGTCACTTCTGATCACCATGGGAACCAAACAGAGGTCTACTTTGCAGAAAACAGATCAGCAGTGACTCACCGACTGCTTGGGAAGCATGATTATTGAGAATCACTAGACTTGTGTGGGTGACAGGGAACAATATGCTGTTTCAACCATAATCCAATACAGCAGAGACGCCTCTGCTAGACATGCAGGATGAAACCAAGCAAATTAGTACTTTGTCTTTGTGTTCATTAGAGACAAATTTCACCTTTATGTTTTTCTGCAGCTTCAGCCTTGTGTGGACTCTTCGCTATGAGAGGATTTCACTTCTAGTGAATGAAGTCCTAACTAAGCTTACACCAGGCTTTACCACACCTTCTGCAACCCTCTTAGTGACAGATTTAACCCTTGAGCAGCACAGAAGTTTAAAGCTGTGTCACATACTCTGAACTACACTGTGAAGTGGATGACACACATGAAATGAGCAGTATCTCTGCCAGGACTACCCAGATACTGAGAAGTCATGTCCTGACCACTAAGCTCCAGGTTCTGCATTAAGAAGAAAGTTAAATAAATGCACTGTCTCATTAGTGTCATTTTAAGGAGCAGCTGTCTTCGAGGTGAATAGTTTGTACTACTAGACCAAAATGTGCAATCCAACAAGATATTCGGATTTTTTTCCAGCTAATCACAAACAGTAGTTTCAATCCTAAGATTTGGTACTCCAGAATTTGTCAAGATTCAATTGTCTTACATGAATTCAAGCACAGTATTTCTGGGCTGTCAAAGAATCTCAAATCAGAGAGCCTGAATCTACTGTCTTTGCAAAACTGTTTTCACTGGCTCCTCAACTCTGGCTGGAGAACTGAGTGACAAGTGCAGAGAAAATGGTGTTACAGCCCCAACATTTAAATGAGTCTTCTTTGTAAATGTAATTCAAGATGTTTTGACAAAACCAAAGTGTATTGCTTAATAATAACTCTGCCATTCAATGGCTACTTGTGTTCTGTTCTCAAGTCTCACATTGAACCATCACTTGAGTGCCTAAATATCCTCCAAGGATGCCATCAAATGCACAGCTGGCAGCTGGCATATAGGGTTTCTTTTGTGTTCCTCCTCCTAACAGAAAAATGCATAGATTGTAAGTTTTGAAATAGCAGATATACTCATCTTGCCATGAAATGTCATGTGCTTTTATTAACAAAGGCTTAAGAAATGCTGTTCACCATAGAGGAATTTTGATGAGCAGAAAATCAGTTCCCTAAGTGGAATTTAGCCAAGACAGAATACAGTGTCCTGTCACCAGTTTCTAGATCTGTGGGTCCTTGGAAAACAAAAGACAAGTCTGCAAATCTAAGACAAGGGCATGTCCCTATCTCTTCAGTTTGACAGGTACAGGCCCACATGGCATAAATGAATGTATATCTCTTGCAGAGGCTCCAGTCCATGATCGTGAAACATTTGTCAGTTGATCAGTAAGCTTTTGAGGTGAAAAGATGCAGAGGAACAAATATATTAAGAAACCACCATACCTCCCACACATTCAGAGGATGAATCATTAAGAGGCCAATTCTGCAAGGTGCTCCACACTTCTCTGCAGGTCTGCACAGGAAAAATTAAGCAATGATGTAAAACAAGAAAAACACTCTTTGCAACTGTCCCACCACCAACTGCTAAGAGCTATTCATTAACGATCACCTCTTTCTTTCCTCAGCCCACACATGGGGGTTTGGATGGCAGTAGCAGAAGTAATGTTTGAATTTAGCCCTGTCCACCTTCTTGATGATCCTTCCCAGCAACTTAAAGGATAGAAGTGTACAAAAAGCTGGAGAGATTACTGTCACCTGTTGTTGGCTTTTCAAGCCGTAAGATGACTGGTGGTTTTTCTGCTTTGGGAGAGACAATCATGTTCAGGTCAGGCATGGGCCTAATTGCTTCGTACTAAAGCAACTTGTGCTGTGCAAACCATTTAGACCATTTGTGGAATATGTGATGTGGAAACTACACCCTTATGCTATGATAAGCAGGTGGGAAGCAAACCCGCATGCTTATTAGACAGTGCTATTTGAGTTCTTATCAGCTTGACTTGCAAGGACAAGACTCTGCAGATGTAATCTACAGACATTCATTCATACTGAGATATTTCAACACCACCTCTTAATCTTCAAGCTTATTTCATCTCAGCTGAAGGTTGAAGGGGTCAAGAAAAAGATGCATATTTGTCTTCAGGAGCTGGAAGCCTGAAATTGTTGATAACTCAAGTAGCAGATTTCTAGAGAATAGCAGTAAATAATGTCACAAATACTTTAAAAGAGGACACAAAAGGAATATTTTAAAATACTTTTTTACAGACTTTACACCAAATAAACTACCACTTATTTTAAAGCCAGAGCTGCAAGTTACTGGAAATCATAGTCAATGGTTGTTCATTGGTCTTAATAGATATCTGTGAAATGGGCAGGAATTTCATCGTTCACAATGTTTCACTTCATGTCCAAGTTTTCTCTGTCGCTTTTTTTCTTTTAATTTTAAAAGTGGTCATTATTCTACAGTAATACATTAATATGATGTGGGTTGAGGGTTTTTTTTGTTTAAAATGTATGGCATATTGTGTTCTATTAAAAAAAAATTGACTAAAGAATTATGCAAAAGGCTTTAATAATTTAAATACTTGTTCAGCCATATGGAAATGTACAATCTGGTTGACGTTCTGTGGGAAACCTACAGTTGCTATAAACTTGATGAATTTTAAAACCGCTCCTACGTTATTTAATACAACAATTTGTTAAAGTAATAACACTCATTCTGTTACAATTTGCCATACTGGAGATGCTTAGAGATGACTCAGGGATAAAAAACTCTAATAGTGATCAAAAATCCTCTATAGTTCAGGAGGATACAGCACTGGAGTTTAGTCCTGCCATCTCTGAAAATACTACCACTTCATCATTACACAAGGAAATGTCTTTATAATATTACACAGAATGGAAGACAGAACATAATAGTTTGGTTCATTAGTATTTTTTCCATGTAATGCTTTATAAAAGAAATAAACCCGAAGAAAATAAAAACAGACATGTAATTATTATGATGAAGTACATTGTTCTTATTTAAATAAATTTCCTTGAGCAGTATCTTCTTAAAAGGTGAAAATTAAACACTATTATTTTTCTCACTGTATAAAAGTGACAGTAGTAATTATAAAGAACCTGATGGTCTTATGCTTATTTCATCCTAAGTTTTCACAGCAAAAATATTAAAATTCGCAATATTACCAAAAAGATGCAAACCTGTCAAATATATTACTCTGAAGTAAATTAACAATTAATTTATAAGAACCTACCATAGGAACTATTAAGTGGACAGTAGTAATGGTTTTCTATATAAAATCTATCAAAAATTGTTGGAGAAAATATACGAAGCGTAGCTGATAGCTGATGAAATCTGCAATATGGCCACACAGAAATAAGTTGCAGATCATCAAAGTTAGCTCTTGTGCAGAAACATCCACCATGAGTTCATTCATTTCATTTTTCACTGGAGAACAGCAGGAGGTTTCCATAATGCAACCATCGTAGGAAACTGATTCAAGGCTGTACTTTAAGCTTTACCCGTAGTTGGAACTTGCAACAGTTTAGATTTTTTGGTGCTCTGATCTCTCTTGCTCCCCAGAAGGCTACGTAAATATAAAAATCTCCAGCACAAAGACAGCTCTCTAAAGCACTGGCAACTGGTCTTAGTAGAAGACTGAAAAAAAGAAAGGAACAAACAGATTTAGCTGGACTGTTAAAGCAATATTGGTAAAGCAACACAGTAACACTCCATACATAAACCGGAGAACTAGGTTGTCATTAGAAGCTCAGAGATTTGTAGTCTATGTTCTGCAGACACACATGCACATAAACTCGTGGAGCTCAGAGGATCCTTTGCAGGTTTAAATGTGCTCAGCTTGGCCTGAGCCAACAGCCAAGTCCTGGTCTTGCACCAATGAAGAAGGCAAAGTGAACTTTCAGCTATTCTGATTCACAAAAAAAATGTCTCTGGCATTTAACTAAAGCACCTAGACAGGGATCTAATTAACCCAGGCTCTGTCCATCAAAATGAATGGAAAGCTGCAATCTAAACGTGCTTCAGTCTTGCCCAGGTCAAGGGTGATGGTGTTGCTAGTTTAGACATCTCAGACAGGTTACTAAATTTAGATGTGATGACCAGCTAAAGGTCCCCCTGTGTATGAGAGCTCCTAGCAGAGTCCATGAAGCTTTAACCATTCACATGATTAAAGATAATCAGTGTATGTCTTTATATACTATGGTATATACTACCATATATCCTAGGCCTGTGTTCAGCACCAGGGCCAGCCATAACTGTTTCTGGCTCTTCACCAAAATTAAGAAAGGGTTCTGCTTCCTATGGAAATTGTTGGCAGCTTTATAACTTCCCCCTCCCCACTGGCTAGACATCAAAACAGTTCCCTTTCAAAAATTTTTGATGTGTATTTAGTTCAAAATCTGAATGGAAACTGAGCTTATTTTTTCTTCAGATATGAACTTGTAAATGACTTTTTTTTAGTTAGTGCATACTCTTAAATCAGGATTACAGCCTATAAATTTTCACTGCCCTATTCTGGCTGGTGGAGAACAAAGCCCCCACAGATTCACCCATAGCAAGAGTAAAGCTCCAGTAGGTTACTCAGTGGGTGCCTCACTATGGCTTCAATGTCCTCCCCAAAATGGAGAAGATGTTTTCTAACTGCAAACTATTTGTTCCTGGGAAAAGCTTTGTCTCCACAGAGGCTGGTCTACACACTGCTGCTGCACCTCACTTCTCATGGGAGGTCTTAGTACCTCTGAAGGATTAGCTGTGGTGTGGTTGAAGGTGAATACAGGGCATTTGATTATTCCCAAATGGAGTAATACAGAGATTCCTTGCTTCCCACTTCTCACCAAGAAGGTGACTTTCTAATTTATGTCTGCACCACTGAGAACTGGCTCCAGGTCCAGCAGTTGAAGCAGATGGAGAAGTAACTGAGCGATGCCCAGACCACCCAAGAGCAGCACAGGGAGCACTGCCACCTTGTTTCTGTTCAACAAATAGACTCCAAGCACATAACATTAATTAAGGCATACTGTACCTCCAGCTCTTTGCATCTCGATGTGTTTATTTCCTTCTAATCTTAATTAAAAAACAAAAGATAAAGATGGTTAAAACATTGTAACATCACTAATTTAGAACACCATTAAAAAAAAAAAACAAACAAAACAAACCACATGCCACAAAGTTACTACTGTTCCAAACCCAGCTATTATTTTGATTAATAGTAGTATTTTTCTTTGGTTTTTTGTTTTGCAGCAAATTTTGGAAGCACCAGCTACTGACTAAACACTGTGCTGACATATGTGACAGCAGCATTTTGTTGGTTAAATCTAAACAATATTACATGATTTCATAATTATATGTTTATGACTTGTCTGTTAAGTACCTAAAAACCTAATGCTTTTTCCCACTGTTTGAAAATATCACATGGAAAAGAAACAGTTTCCACTGGGTTTCATATAAGAACAGAAATAAACCTGAAAGCAAGCACTTACTAACTGTTATTACTGGAATTCACCACAATGCAAGTAAACACCTTCAAAACTAAAAATAGCACTGAGGCTCCGCAAGTGCATCTATCACAGTCTCTTAGTCCTAACAGGGTTTTGTTTTCTTTGAATTCACAGAGCACTCAGAGCATGGAGAAGCTGTTCAGAAGACAATGTACCACACTGTCAGCATCTGCTCTAGGATCCTTCTGCAAAAGTGTGTTAAAATTTAAATAAATGGGAACAATCACTATAACGATTATAAATAGCCCCACTGCCTTAAGAGTCGCCAAGGCTAGCCAGTCTGTCTGAAATAATAATTGATTTTTAAAGGAAATACATCTTACTAGATAAAATTAAACTGAGAAAGAAGGGGGACTACAATACACAACTTGCCAGTACCTTTCGGTGCAGCTTTTGTCTGACTGGAAACCATAGCAGCCGCATCCGATGGCAAGCCAACATACACACCACCATAGTTCCTGATATAAAGAAACAAATAAAGAGAATTCAGAGCTGTATTGTGACACTTCTCCCTATAATGTTGACATTATGCAACAGCATTACACAGACCATAGATGGTCAGAGAGGAGGGCACTTCTGCATGAGCATCCACAGAGACCCCTCGTTTCCCATGGCTATCGGAAAGTGCCACATGCTTGCTAATGCGGTGCCAGACAAAAAACCTTAAGGCTAGCTGTTACTCTTGAGTGGCATACAAGCCTGTGAAAGAAGTTATTTTTCACTCAAATTCCTAATATTTTTCATTAAATCCCAACTCTCTTGTGATAGTAAACCCCACCTGCTCAGCTTCTTCTAGACACAGAATATATCCAACTGAGGACAGAGCCAACCTGATAGCAATGTTTGACACTGGGACCACTGAAGCATCTCACTTCAAACAAAGCACACCAATTAAACAGCACTTTGACCTCTCCCCATTAATAAATAGGACCTGCATCCTCCTGCTTAGGGCCACACTTGGAGCAAACTTAGCAGGAAGGAGCATGAGAATGTTAGGTACTTCCATAGTCCAATTGTCTCCCCTTCATGGCCTTGCAAAGCATAATTTCTGGCTCCGAGGCCTGTATGAAAAGCAGAGACTAATGCAAGGAGGTGACAGACTGGGTCCTTAAGAGCCTCTGCTGTGCCTAGAGCTACTTGCAGACTCCCATTATGCTGCTCTACCCCGTTAAGTTTCAAATTAATCACACATCCTCCAGCCCCCAGGGCTCTAAATCGACTTCTGATTTGTTTGATGATAGAGTCATACTTCCTTTGACTTCCATCCCAGCAGAATCTCCCACAAGTGCTAATGCCATCTTCTGTGGCAGGGCTGGCGTGAAGGCAGAGGTCACTGGCCCTTACCGAGCACATCACCGACAGCTGTGAGATAATGTGCTCTTCTTGCTGCAAAGTTCCCCCCATCCCCAACTCACTAACAGGATGGGGGGGACTCATCAATACTGGGCTCTGTGTGAGATCTCCTCTCTTCTGTTTTTTCCTTTTTGTCTGCTTTTGTGATGTTGGTGAGAATTAGGAAGATGGAAGGAAGGATGTACATCTGGCAGCAGAAATCATTGCAGCCTACTGCAAACAAAGCCAGCCCCGGCAGAGCACCTACCTCCTTTTGTCATCATCTGATACAGATTCTTCTGCTCTGTAACATCAAAAGATACAAAATACATTAGCAGATTGTTTCTTTCAGATACTCCATGACCATCTGGGTGGATTCAGGAGCAAGGGAAGAAGGGGATTATTACTAATCTCAGTTTAATTCAGGTCATCCACAATTCAATAAAGTACTTACACAGGCACAAAAAGAGTGATAATTTTCCAGTCTGATATACAGAAGAAATAAAAGGATTGAGAACAGATGCAGCTTACTTTTCATGAACCCCACCAGTGATGCCTGAAAGTAGATTTGTGAGCTGAAACTGGTAAACTAACACATTTCCTGAGAGAGTCCTCACACTGCTCCACACATAACAGGAACAAGACTGGGCTGCTATTCCACCAAAAGAGTACTGAAAGGTACTGGGTGTCCATGCTGGCATGGGAATGACGATGAAGAAAAGATGTTAGAGCCTCTCCATAAAATGAGGTACTGCAATTCCTGAAGTCAGAGTTGTTTGCAGGCCAAGTAACTGTTACTAATCCTTTATAAATGGGCAATTACTTCTCTTTTACCTTTAGGGTAAAAATCACAGGTCAGTCTGTAAATCGATAGAGAGTCACTGATGTTTGGCTCCCCCCACTGAAATACTGTCCAGTGTAGCTGAACTGGAGCAGGGGGTAATCGGCAACAATGTGAAGACAAATTTAGTATGGAAAAGATAAAGATTTTATTCTTGCTCTCTGAGGGTATAGCGCTGCGCTGCAGTCTCAGTCTGTGCCCCAGTGTCAGTCTTCACACAAATTACTCACCCACCTTTGATTAAGTATTTGGATTGAGTTCTGCTTGCATGGCTGGGAATGGATCAGGGCAGCAGCTGCATTTTAGCTTGGCCTGCAACCTACCAACCTAGCAATAAAAATAGAGGCAAGATAGCTTGAGTGTTGTTAAATCCAAACATCATTCACTCCTTCCCTACAGCTGGGGGCAACTGTGACAAGTGCCCGAGGAGGAGTCCCGGAGCACAGCTGCCCAGGGAGCCACGAGATACGGCCACAGCAGTGCCCTGGGAAGGCTGCAAACAGCAAAGGGGGCTCTGCTATGGAAATGCTCGTGCACAGGGTGTTTACCCAGATATCCTCACCTGAATATTCCCTTTGAAGGACCAATTGCCTGGACTATGGGGGCAATGCAGAGATACTCCCCATCATGAGCTGAGCCATGTATTTCTTATCTGCTCCCCAGGCAATAAAACTGAGATATGGCCTTTACCCAGTGTCAGGGCTAAATCCATACTGTAGCCTTGAAAGGCATTTCTGAACCACGATCTTGAACAATAATATATGACATTTCTTACTGCAATTTATTTATTCTAAAAGGTAGATGTGCCTACTCTTTAACTGTCAGGGCTCTATGTCATCACTGGCCCCTGAAGTCAATGTTTTTTTGGCCTGAAGTACAGAGAGCTTGTAGGAAGATGCAGCCTTAAATGCAAGAAAACGCCCCTTAAAACTCAGTCAGCACTCTCCTGGAAGGGTAGCAAATGCTTAAAAGTACTGGTACAAGTGGGAAATTATCTTACACTTATCTTCTTTCTAAGTGGCAGAACATTACCAACTATCCTTTCTGTGTCACCACAGCGAATAAGGGTACACAAGTCCTTCTAATAGTAGAGGTTTGGGATAAATCTATGCTGCAGTTTTGGTAACTGACATTCATGCATCGCACAGCACTGAGGGGTGAGCCTCCTCGTCTGCTGTCTTTGCCTCTGTCCTACCACTCAGGAGAGTCTGAGCAATAAACTCCTCATTCTCTGGCCCTCCTGCCACTCCTCCCTGGAGGAGCTAGTGCTATTTCAGAAAACATTTCCCATCTCCTCTGACCCCATGTAGCCTAAGCCACCTTGCAGTCCTCACACATACAGACAGAAAAATACAGAGGTAATTTCCCTTGAGGACTGTGAAGCTGCTCTGTCCTAGTGTGGGCCAATTACAGCTGAAGAAAGTGGAAAGCCTGTGTAATATATCAGTGGGTAGAAATAAGGCCTGTATTTTTAGAAAAAAAAAAAAAAAAGACAACACTTTAAGAAAGGGACTTTGAGTGCCAAAAGATCAGTTGGTTCAACAGAAATGATTGCCAGTGAATGTGTCACAGGATTGATTTTCTCATACAATTGGAAACATTTTCTATAATCCAGATTAACCATTATTCAGAGAAAAGAATCTTTTAAAAGCGCTGGCACCTTCATGCACAGCCCAAAGCCTCTAAAATAAAGTTGTAAGAATAATAATCAATATTGTCCAACAGGAAATTAATGCCAATGTTTACAAAAAAAAAAAAAAAAGAAACTCTACTAGGCAATGGGGCTATTTTCTTCTGTTCTAGAAATGTTTTGTAATGGGGCATCACTGGACCATTACTGTCACTCACCAAAACAAATTATCTAGGCCTATGATTAAGCAGACTAGGTTTTTTAAAACGTTTTGCTTTCTTCCTTTCCTCTTAATAGCTACAAATCTAAGTCTAATTTTGCAATACCTTTTCCCCTAAATACACAACAGCAAATATGATCTGGGACTGTACAGACCACAGCTCTTGGGCTGGGTGATGACTGGGTGCAGTTTGCTGTAGTCCTGCTAGGAAAGAGAAAGTAAGCAGAGGCAGGAGGAATGTGGAAAAGTGAGAGGGAGAAGAAAGAAAAATTCTGGTTATGGCACTTAAGAAATAAACTATTTTCCATCCCTTTCTGAGGACTCCTTTCTAAGCAGAATGGGGAGGAATGATGTTAGTTTATGCATGACAGAAATTCACACACCTGCTGCCTTCACACACTGTAGCTTAAGGCCCCATTTTGAAAGGTGCCCACTAACTTCACATGTTTAAATGTCCAGGTGCCAGCTGTGCCACTGCAGAAGGTACTGCTTCTGTGCCCAGGCTGGGCGAACACGAGTGGCTCTGGGGAGCAGACTCAACCATGTGGAAATGAGAATGGAAAGAAGCTCCTTTGGTTTCAGCAGTGATCCATCCCATTGCCACATTTCCCAGACTCAGAGAGGGTATGGGGATACAGGAGTCCAGCACATCCTTTCTCTCTCCCTCTCTACCTCCAGTGTGTCTCTAGCTTCTTCTTAGGTCAGGGATAAAGGAGGAACCTAGCATAAAAAAAAATCTTTAAATATCTCTATTTACAGAGTCCTCCAGGAAAAGCAAGTTAGGATAAGCTTTTCTGCACCAGGAATAGATGGCAAAAAGGAACTTAGCACTTTGATATACTTTGTACTGATCGGCTGCTGTGTCGCTGCATCTTCCCCCAGATGATGTTGACATCTCCTCCAAAGGAACTGAGAGCATGTTTTTCAGCAGGTAGCATAGGTGAAGTTCTGTAGCCAGTAGGTGGACTTAACAGCAAATCCACGTAACGGCATTCTATCCTGAGCTAGAATAAATGTTTCTTTTGGTAAGGATTTGTCTATCTCAGGAGGTTTCCTGTCACCCTCCTGTCTGAAAAATGTACTTGGTTCAATTGTCAGTTTTTACATCAATCAGACCTACGTCCATTTGATGGTAAAAGAAGCTGTCATTTTTCACATAATATTTTAAATACCAAATGACAGGCATTCACATTAATTCATTCCATCTACATTTTTCTTACCTCAGCTTTTAGGACTCTGTTCATGCTGAGCATTATACAGACTCTTTCTAGCCATGCTCAGTAGTCCCAGAAGAAATGATTCACTAAACTTTGCACAAGTGACAGACTACTTCTCAGTTTCTCAGCATTTCTTGGGAACAAAGGCCTGTCATTTGTATTTGGAGGATTTCTTCCCTATATTTTGAAACAGGCTTGAATTGCTGTGTCCTTTCCTTATTACTGTTATTAATCTTCCTCTGAATTTAGCCACATTCTGAATATCACAGGCATTGCATTATTTTCTAGCATATATTTAACCCCTCCTATATCTAAGCTTTTCCAGTAAGCAGTGACATACTTCTCTTCATTAGTGGAGCAGGTGTGTTGGCTAAGGCTGGCCAACAGCTTCACTGTTGATTTGAGGGTTGGAATACACAGGAAGAGATCACGTTCCCAGACCATACGACCTTGTTGTCACCATGCGGCCCTCAATCTCACAGCACTTTGCATAGGAAGATCATATCATCATCCCTATCTTACTGGTGGAGAAACTCAAGGCCCAGAGGGAAAAGTAACTTCCCGCAGTCACCCCAAGAGGTTCAGAGCAGGATCCAGGCCTCCCTCCTTTCACTCAGCTGCTCACTCCAGGAGACGCTGCTGCCTTGGCAATGAGTTGCAGCCAAGAAATGAGAAATCTCTTGGGTTAGAATAACCAGATTCTGTATTGAAAAGTATGCTGTCAGTAAGGACACACCTGAATGCTTTTCTGGACCAGGACCAATATGATTGAAATTTGACAGAAAAAAAAAAGTGGGTTTTTTGAAGAGAATTTTTTAAACTTTAGCTGATAGAAGTGAAAAGGTATAAAATAAAAGCTTGTGTGGATCTATAATGTCAGTTAATATAAATCTGCTTTGTTCGTTTCCGTGAAACTAGAATAGGTTTTCTGGTATTTTACTTCCTTTGTAAAAATCTGCTGTAAAATATTAGGATGAATGATTCTGGACTTTTCAGGTCATCGCTGCCATTCCTCATTAACAGATCTGAATTTCTAATGTCTGACAAGAAGGCTCAAGCACGCTATTACTCATGTAGGTTGTTCAGCTGGCTCCACTATACTTACCTGAATGAGTAATGGTTCCAGGATTGACCCTTTCACTTTCTTGAAGTTTGCACTATTAATCAGGTTTTTTAAATTATCCCGATACTTTTTTGAAACATGACGGATGATCTAACACTAATAGGTAGGATGTTCCCAGTCCTCCTAAAGCCTGGCCCTACAAATGCTTACACACACACAAATGCAGTTCTACATACACCCATACCTTTAAGCATAGAAATGTGCCTACTAAATTCATAATTTAGCAGTGCTTGCAATTTTGAAATTTAAAACTACCGAAGAGCAAAGAGAGAGAGGCAGTTCTAAATCAGTCACTTAAATTATCTAAATTGAACAACAGAAAAGGCCCTAATACAAACTAAAACCAGTGGGTTTGTATAAGCAGAAGTGCTGAGGGCATGGATGCTGTAGGCTGCATCAAGAAGAGGTTACTCATAAGCTTGCTTTCTGTAATTTATTTACGTCTGACACTGCAAACCCAGAAAACAGACTACATGGGTAACACAGATCTCAAGAGTATCTGTGACAACAGCATTCATCTGCCAAGTGAGACCTGTTGTTAGCTCTCAGTTGTGCTCTGTAATAGCAAGGACAAGCCTGTTGTTAAGCTCTTCCCTCCACTTGTTTATCTGACTTGACAGCCCTCATTTCTACAGCAGGATTCCTCCATCTAATTAGAGTAGTTATTCTAAATGAAGTAAATAAAACTGAAGAATGTTCCTATTGCATAACATTAAAATCCTCAGTCTCATCTCTAGTGGCAAATACCAATTATATAGAATAGAAGAAGAGACCTCAGGAGGACTTCTTTAATGCTTCCTTTGATAGGAAAATAAATTTATGACTGAATAAAGCTGTTCCTGCACACTTCCACATCAGCAAATGAAAGATGGGCTGAGTAATGCTAATCTTTTGCTGGTGCTTTTCTGAAAACCAGAAGTTGGCAAGAGGCAGAAGGACAACAGAGGTTCAGACTTTACACATTTAGAGAAAAACAGGATGGGTAGGGCTGCCCTCTGCTACTCAGTGTCAAATACAAGGGAGAGAAAGAGGAACAGATAGATACTATCTTCAATGCGGAGAACATCTAGAGAAGGTGGGTACTTTGAAAAGGAAGTCTGAATGGGTTACCAGGTTGCCCACAGAGGAGAAATTTGCCTCGGTGGCTCTCTACATCTCTCACAGGGCTTGGTGGAAATTTATGTGGTCACTTCATACAATGACATGGCCTTTGGAAAAAGGTGTGCTGCTATGAGACAGGGAAGAGTAGTCTGAAGTAACATGATCACCTCTGGGAAAACAACTCTTTCAGCAGAAGCAGAGAAAAGACATTTCTGTTAGAGAAATAATGAGGGAAGTAATCTGTAGAAAAGTAAACAAGACATTAAATTGTTTTGTGGAGATGGAAGCTGTCACTAAAGACAATAAATATCTAGTGGTGTTGATTATATGTTAGGAGCCAGATGAATCATGTATGACTGAATCTAGTATAAGGCTAGTAGGACTGAAGGTAAGTCCAGGCTTAAGTATTTGAAAGAGTAGAGTAAGTACTTACACATCTTTAGTAGTCCCTGTGGCACCTGGAATGAAAAAAAAAAAAAAAAGAAAGAAAAGTGCATGTTTACAAGATAATGGCATAATCCTCCAAACCAACTGATAGTACAGTAAGCATTTTTCTGCCTTTCTGTCCTAAACAACACAGAAATCGCAACAGGAATGTTCTACTGTCAGTGAACAGGTTTCTCGCCAATGTCTAGTTTATCCTTAATGATTATCTGTATTATCCCTTAAGTCTATCATGCGTAGATCTGGGCTAGTTTCTCAGTGGGTGAAAATTATGCTGCTGTGGACCAATGCCCCGGTGCAGTCACTCAGGATGAGAGCAACATAAGATAAAATTCATCTTTCTGAATTTTACCTGCTTCACTTTGCTCAGTCTTCTGCTAGTTTTGTCCGCTACAAAGTCACTGCAGCTAACTCAGTTACTCCTGAATGCCTGTTTATTTTGCTGTTTGATTCAGTTGTAGATATGACACTACATGTGTAAAATGTGGCTCCATTCTTCCTGCCACATAAACAAAGTTTTATAAAACAACTAGACAGAACTAATATAAATGTTGGGACACAATCCATCCAAAGTCCCAGACATCTAAAGAGATCGACCACCCCTTCATTCATCTTGCTATTTAAAAAAAAAGCAAAAAGACAAAAACTACCACCTGGCTGCCTGATCTAAGTGATTGATTTTTTTTTTTTTGGGGTGACTCAGATGCTTCTTGCTGGGAGAGGAACATTCACTCAAGTACAAGCTCTTTCCTGTTCCTCCCAAGTTATTAATGCCATGTTGCTATTGCTGGTATATCATTCAGCTGAGTAACAACAAATTATCCCTTCTATTAATTATACAAGCTAGGGTACACATTAGAAAACCTTTCACTTCTTTTCCTCTTCCTCTCAGTACTTAGCTGGAAGAGGTTATCTGAGCTCACTCTGAAGAAACTACAGTTGTCAATCCAAAAGATTTTATGGGTTTGGAGGTATAGGTTGGGATTTTTTCCAGTCATGGCATTTCACTTCTTGAAAAACTTTAATTTTGCTGCTGAAAAATATCCATAAATAGCAAGTATCTTTTGTCTCACTCTGATGTGTAAGAATATGCCTTCCGCATCCTTATTTTAAACAGAGAGAGGAAGAAACAGTCCTGCAAGGCCTTCCAGCACTGTCCACCTGAATGGGTGGCGCGGACGGCAGGAAACACCTCCCTTTACAGCTAACTCTTGAACATCACGTCACTCCCAGTTCCAATGAGCTGGCTATCCCTCCTTTTCTCAGCTACAACGTAGACTAGACTGTACACATTTCTTTTGTTAGTACTGCTTCCAGAGTCAGCAAAATCTCAGTACAGCTAAGTGTATCATCAGAAACTCTTAATTAAGCTGGAGGGAGTACCTCTATGCACAATAAGCTCAGGTCCTCACTATAAAACTTTATTCTGCCAGGCAGCTTTCTAAGACTTTTTGGCTTTATAGGGACATTACATAATACTACATATAAATCCTCCAAATTAATTGTGTCCGGGTGGAAGGTTGGCATTGCAGTGCCACATACAAGCTTGATCTTGGCCAATGTAGGGAGACGTTTTCTGCTACTAAGGCAAGATCATCCAGGGTCAGCTCAGCTACATAACTTCAGAGCAACACCCTGCACATCTAGACATCAGCAACACCTCAGACAACACATGTTTTGAAAAGCCTAGATCCACTGCTGTAGCTAGCAGGATCTTTTTTTTTTTTTTTTTCCCCCAGGAGAAACTATTCCTGCAATATCCCTGTTCTGCCCCAAAACCATAACTTTCTCATTTTTTCAACCTAAACTCACTGCAAACAAACCCAATTTCTCAAAAAAAATAAGATGAGAGGTCTTTTGTGAGGCCTTTGCCGAGCGTTTTCTGAGTCTGAGCTGAGGTCTCAGCGCTTTGGATCCTTGTTTGAAAAAACTAATGCCTTCCTTGCAGCAAGTATACCAGAAGTAAAAAGCATTTAATACACAAACTGAAACCTTAGCTGAGTGAGAACTATGTGCCTATAGTACGATTACATTTCCCAGTGGAGATGACACTCAAATTCCAGTCAATCACCAGGCACACTTCAATGTCATGTCCATGTTCAGTGCTGTACCTGCCTTCAGTGCATTACAGTACACATACATTCACAGTCTGGGGACAGGAGCAGTCTCTCAGACCCATCAACCTGGCCTCCATGTAGAGCTATACAGCTATGAACCTGTGTTTGCTGAATGCAGATGTGTCACTATCATTCACACCTGGCAACACTTGTTTCCTTGGAATATTAAAGGAGGTGTCGCTGCAGAAAAATCATTGCAGAATTTTGAAATGCACCTCACACTAAAACATTGAGAACTATGATAAAAACAAATTCACTTTTCAAGGGGTCATTTTTCTATTTATAATAAATAAATACATATAATAAACAAACTGTTTTCTACTGTTTTTATAAACACAAAGAACCGGTTATCCTCACTTCCGCTGATGAGATTCCATTGATTTCAGTGGTATATTTCTCATTTTCGCTAGCAGAAGTGAAACAAGAGTTTGGTCCAAATTCACCTGAGTACCACTAAAGTACCTGAATATAGATCTGAAAGTATTTCCAATTCACAAAATTTTCTTCCTGGAAGAGTTCTGAGCGTGCAAGTGAACATCCCTTCAGTTAGATGGCCCATAAGGTTTTCTTCCTTAGGCAGCCTGAACACTCTTTATAGAGATTTTATTTCTCAAGGAACCCAATAATATCTCAGTTAGTACAGTCGTGTTTGTTTTTAAAGTCCAATCCATTCACCCTCACCCCTGTTACTTCACTGACATATTTCTCTAACTCCTCCATGTTTAGTGAGCGACATATTATTTTATAGCTGCTCAAGTTCCTCTTGCCAGATGTTCAGCCAAAGAATCTTATTTACCATGGATTTACAAACAGTGCATAGCTCTTCCAGAGCAGTGAGGCTTAGTGCTCTGGTAGCCATGATGTTTTAGATATGTGACTTGAGAAAAGCATCACACATTGGAAAGTTTGTCCATTTTTTCCCACTGTATCAGCTTGGCCTAAAAGAAGGCAACACTTGACCTTACAAACCTTGTCTTAATAGGCTCGTGTTGATTTAGTTTTCCAAAATCTGCCTAATCTCAGCAAGAGGCTGAGGGGAAGACAGGAAGCTGTATCTACAAAAAATAGGCAGTATTGAAGTGTCCTGAATGGCTTCTCTGCTCACACCACCAACACAGTCGGACCATGGGTGCATTTTGGCATTTTACAGCTGCAGGAGGGGAAGAGTACAGCCTGCAGAATAAACGAGGCCCATTCAGCCATACATCGCTCTGAGCCTGAGTGATTACAGAAGAAAAACGTTCTGTCTAGAGTAGTGGAGCTATGATCCCTCGGAAAAAAAAAAAAAAACACAGCCTTTTAACAGTCACAAATGAAGAAGGACAAGAGCATATTCCAAAGTATCTTCCATTCAGTGAGAGGAGGGTTTGCACTTTCAAAACAACAGCAGCTTGTTACTGACAAGCCTGCAGGATTTCAGCAAATGCAGGACAAACGCAAAAGATGGTTGAAAGAAATTGACAGCCACAGACAATATTCCTCTGTGCTGAGAAATGCATAATGAGTGAATGTGGAAGACAAAAAAACATAAAAAGGATGAGAGGCAACCACTTACATGCACAAAAACATGGATTCAAAGAACGCCAGCATCTGACCTTAGAACAGATCATGAAACATTTTTCCCATTAATTTTTAATGAACAATTTCCTACAATATTTTCTTGCAAATACTTCAAATTGTTACAAAAAGCAATAAAAACATAAAAATTACACACACATGCATGCCACAGTTAAGATTACAAATGAGTTTCCTATTGTAGGCTCCTTTCTGATTGTACTCCAAAAGACAGCAATAAGGAACCAAATCCTAACACCAATGAATTTATTCTATTTATACCCCAGTGTAACTGAGGACAGAATTATATCAATTTACTTCAAATTGATTACTTCAACTCATCAGGTGGCAGTTCTGTACATAGACATGACCTGATTAAACATTAATTTTAAAAATCAGTTGGATTTTAAATAGAATGGCAGGATGGTTTCCTGGGCATTCCAACAAACTTGAAGTTAGTAAATCTGTTTAAATTTGATGTGAAAGTTCTTAATCATAATTTGTATTTTAAATTCTCCAGACTAACAGCTTCTCTGTATATTTAAATTAAGGCTAGACTGCCAGCCTCCACTGAGTACCATAATTTAAGGTGCTGTCATTCCTACTACAATTGGTACAGAAAGGAGGAGGCAGTTAAAAACTGTTAGTGAAGCAACACTAGAATGAAGGGAAATGCCTTAACTTGGAAAAAAAGTAAATTAATGTTTAACGACATATTTTTAAAAGACCAAAACAGAAGAGCTATTTGGAGTTTCTAAAACACCAGGAAATAACATGAAAGAAGGATACATAGAGTGAGGTAACAAAACATCAGGAAAATAGCAAGTTGTTAATAAAGCTGTGTGTAATGGGAAATTTAAAAAATAAGTATAAACCATAGTTAACAAAACAGCTAGGTGACTTAAGAAGGATGTGTATACATTGGTTTACTTAGTTGCCATTTGTCAACTGAAGAGCCTTTTGCCAGTGTCTGATGCTCTGGAAGGAAAGTTTAAACTCTGTGAGTTACGCTGGTGTTCTGGAGTACTGCACCACAGACAGAAATGTTATTCTAGATCATGTCTATTAGTTTAGATCTCACAGAGCATAGAGCTGATTGCTCCTCTGATGTCATTCTAGCCGACCAACAGAAGATAATATCATTAGCTGAACTATCATTACATATACGTCTGCTAAGGAAAAATTGAGTTAGGCTACAATAGAAATTTTACCAGAGTAAGAAAATGGGGTCTAGCATAACATGTCTGATGTATTCTGTGAAGTATGCTACAATATTATCCTTAGTCATATAATATGACAGAGAGTGTTACAGGTTAATTATACATTATGTACCTCTAGCTTTGACATTACTGACTAGAATAGTCATAACTTTAGCACTAATGATGTAGTCATGCTGTGCAAGCCACAAGATTAATTTGTATTTACACAGTATTCACATCTTTCAGGAAAATACTCAGAGTTACACTTTCCTTAAGAGCTCTAGAATTCCAATTAAAAATGGTACATCTTCTCCTTCCCCTATATAAAATAATTTTATTTTTATTAGATACACTTTGCAAGGTATGCTAAATGGAAAAAAATAAATAGTAGACACCTGACTTCTTAATTTTATTAATACTTGTTGATTATTACAACACCATAGACTGCATAGTTATTCCTGACTGACAGTGGTGAAAGTAAGAGAACTGGACCTTTCAAAGCTGTTTTTGCTTTGGAAAGCTCTATCAGGGCAACAGTAATTATTCCATTATACTAACTATATGTTTTATATGGCATTGTCTTTTACCTGCACTAAGCCATTGGAGATCTGCGGACTATTCTAGAGAGTATGCAAAAGGCTGTCACAAAATGCAAGTTCAAGTATATTATGAATAACAGTACTGGTAAGTTAAACTACTGAAGGGGCTCCACCTGCAGTAAAAATAATTTATGAATCTGCAACCCAAAACCTGTTGAAAATAGCTACCGTTAATGCAACGGTGGACACATTTATTTAAACAAACAAACTTTTAGTTCAACATAATTCACTAAATACTACTGCTGTCAGAGTTAGTCAGTCTGACATTTACCCGTTTTGTGTCCTGGTACAAGTTACACAGGGTGGCCAGATCAAGATTAACCGAGAAGCTACAACAATGGGACTAATAATCAACTCAAAATTTTCCTCTCAATTTCTCTGATACTTGCTCTGGTGCTTTTAGCCAGCAAACAAAAATGGGATGTAAACAAGCACCCCAGCAGTATGAAGCTACATTGGTCATAAACTGACACAACTTGCAGTCACAGCAGTCCAGGAGTTGACTAATGGGAGAGAATTAACGTGTGCCAACAGGACAGCTCTAATGAGTGGTAGAAGTTCAAGCAAATTCATACAGTGCATTCGTTATGGGTGAGGGAGGCCTCTGATAGATAATACATGATACCTAAAACGTAATTTGGAATAATTTAGCAGCAATCAGGTAAGCAATAATGGCAGAAAAGCCACCCCTTCCCCTAGGAGTGAGAAGTGCAGGGCTTGGTGTGTAAACCATCAACACACCACACAAACATAGACACATACATGCAACTTGGAGAAGGCATCATCATTCACACTCAGATATGCCCAGTTCTTCAAACCGGGACTAACACCACCTGAGGCACCACTGCAGCTCGGCATAAAGTCAGTCAAAATGATAAGAGATGGAGACCCAGTAATTCCAACTTGTCCGGCCACTGTTTTGCTGTGTATTTCCAAGAGGTTACAAAGCTAACAAGTGCATCTGAAAGACTCAATACAGGTACTGAAACAGATGGCAATGTTTGCCCAGTGCAGTTAGGATGAAAAATGATTGTGAAATGCTCCTATTTATAATAATATGGTGAAACTCCACCTTTCAATTTCCATATAGGCGGAGCCGGGTGGGAGATAAAGCCGCGGGGACCCCTCCTCCTCCTCCTCTTCCTCCTCCTCCTCCTCTCCCCACCCATCGCCTGGGAAACCGCCGGCCCCCAGCGCCGCCGCCCGGCACCACCCCGGCACCTCACCGCGCCCCCGGGCCGGCCCCGAGGAAAGGGCCCCCCCACCTTCCCAGGCTTTCCCCTGCCCCCCTACCCTCGGCTGGAGCCGTTAAGCCGGGGATAAGGCTCCCCGCAGGCTTAAACCCGCAGGACCCCTCGGGCTCCCCGCAGCGAGCTCGGAGCTTCCCCGGGCAGCCAAGACGCCCCTTTCGCCTCCCGCGTTTCACGGGAGCTTTGGGACACCCCTCATTCACCGCGGGGAAACCGGGGTAACCACAGGTCCTGGCTGCGAACCCTACCTCTGCTAGCAATAACAGCCACTTCGCTGTTTTAAGCAAATATTTGCTGCTTGCTTTCAGTATTTCTCTTCTCATAGAAACATGATGGTGAAACTGCAGACCCACGGGTTGGTAAGAGCTACAGATTCGCTTTTCCCAATTAATAACAACAGCACTGAGAAACAGGCAAGATGACTTTACAAAGTCTACAAGCAATCTTATTTTATTCAAAATTTGTATCATTCCCAAAGAAGAATTTTACTTATTTTCTGCTAACCCAAACCTTTCTTCCACACAGAGAAGTAAAACACTTCCAAACCTTGATGGCTTACTCTTGCTCAGTCCTCTCAAATGAACAGGGAGATGAAGTACAATGGATACAGCCAGATGCAACTCTAGTTGGATACATGTTACTGCTACCAAAACTATTTGAGGGCTCAGAAAGATGTTTTAGGGCTGTCATATAAACACCAGTATGAGCCCCATGTATGCATATGTCTTTATTACAAAAGGACCAGATATAAAACGTTGCTGCCTGATCTTTCAGTCTATTCAGAGAAGGTAAAGAAATAGCTCACGGTTCTCTTACAGACTTCTCAAAAAGCACATACTAAAAATGAGCAGCTGAGTCAGTAATGCCCAGTCTCCTACGGCTTTCTGCCCCAGGGAGGGACACCTGCACGGGCTGGCTGACCAGCCGTGAGCACACCTTGGAGCAGGGTGGGCATTTGTAGGATCTGCTTCATCTGGCTGGCCACCTATTTTCATGACATTTGTAGAGAGTCAGTATTTTCAGGGTCTTTGCCTACACCTTCCTGGCAAATTGCCAGAACCCGATCAATCAGCTCAGAATTAATAAGGTAGGGCTAACGGGCACAGCCACACAACTCCACCACCACCAGCAGCCCCCAACACCAGACACGCAGTGCAATTATCTGCATTTCGCTTCAGAAAAAAAAAATCTCACAGAGGTTCACAGCCATCTCTTTTTGATGGCCAATTTTCTGAAAAAATGAATATAGAAAAGCAAATCCTCAGGCTGAGCTTTCAAAAGTGCCAAGCATCAGCCTGAAGTGAATTTTTAACATCAGAGTTAAGAAGGAAGAAAGGGTGCTCTGAAAGCAAGGCTAAAAGACATACTGCTTAAGATCCCATAGGGTTTTCTAATACAAAACCAAACAAAAAATCCCAGCAACCCACACTGGCCATAGGCTTGCGATACTGTGGAATAATCTATGAACACGGTTTTAATATATCATTTACCTGGGAGGAAGCAGTTGTGGTGAGCACAGAAACCACACCATCTTCTCACATATTAGAAGAGGCAGCTGAGAGGCAAAAATCCCCTGGAGATGCCTCCACACCAAGCCATTGCCCTGGCCACAAGAAGAAGATATGAGACTGGTTCAGAAAGCTGCGGTAGTATTAAGGATGACAGGAGGATGCTGTGACTTCCTTCTAAGTGTTCTCACTCATCTTACAAGTTCAGTGTGTCCTACACAAGCTGACTGCCCTGTGTGCACAAAGAGCTCCACTGAGTTCAGTAAGGCAAGAAACTTCCAGCACACCCAGTCAAAGCTGGAGCTAGTAGCGGTTCCAGGGGTCTTAGGACAAGTATTCCTCTATATACTGCCTGGGACTGCAATGAGTCAGCCCCTCCTAAACCTTTTAAAAGAACAGCCCAAAGGCAAACTTTCTCTCTTGGCAGCTGTATTGTAAATGCCTCCTATTTTAAATGAGAAGACACACTTTAGTTTCAACTTTACCTGTGTTCTAGACAAACAGAGCATTTCACATTATTACTGAAAGAAAATAACTGGTAGCAAAATACAGTCACATAAGCAAGTTAATTAAACGAACACCCTATGTGTTCATTTGGAATGGAGCAGTGCATTCCCTGCATCGGCAAACTCGATGTCTGTCATCACGCACCCTGTGTACTCCATCTCCTTTGAGAAAGATTGGGAGATGTATGGATGTGAGCTTCTCTAAGTATTTCAGAAGGTGTAGTGAGAAAGGACTTTGTTATTCTTTCCCTAAATCAATCTAAAAATTACCCAGCTGGGAAAACAGGTTGGTTAACAGGATTAAACAAACCTGAAATTCCAGTGATTTTCTCTTTTTGGATGTTTTTGCTAGTCCGAGTGATTGAAATCTAAACAATCTGTCTGTCAAGCTGATATGCAGGTCTGTGGAGAGGGATTTTTAAATGCCATAGGAAACAGCCCTTACTTGCACAAGGCTGTATACTTTCCCAAATTCTTTTTTATCTAAGCATCCATATAGAAACCTTATTCACCCATGATTTTTTCTAACAAAGCACTTGCTTTCAAAGGCTTGTGTCTCAGCTTATGCAAGTATAGAAAAAAATATAGTGCTAATTACCATCGTTGGGTATTTTCTTTTGATGAGATGTTCTCAAAACCACAAATGTCCTGAAAAAAACCTGTCGGTTCTTCATCAGTAGTTAGCATCCTGAGATTAATTCTTTCCTAATCAAATTTACAACAGGAATTCAATTTAGACAAATCTTTCTCATTTTAAGAGTTGCACTACAAATCTGTTGCCATGGTTAAATAACACAACCACTTTGTTCATGGTGGATGCTCAATTCCAGTGTGTTCAAGTTCAAATTCCCATGTTTTCCAGCTACTGTGTATTATGCTTCTCCCTGGACAGTTTTACAGTCTTGCTACAGCATTGTTGTTTTATAGTTGGCAACCTCGGCTAGCAGTTTTCACTGACTTGTTCAAATATCATGGTGCTGCATAGATGGTGGTTGTGATCACTTAGCCACCAAAGGTCAGACAGTTACACTCCAAATTCCCAGTAAACCTGCAAGGATGATTCTGCTTGAAAAATGCAGTAGTACAGGCCCCAATCTACCACAAACAAAAGCACTCTTGTGTCAACTGGGGGTTGTTTGCTTTTACAAGTCAGTAAACAAAGCCCAATGCACCAAGATATTAAATTATTTTCATGGGTATAAAGAGGTGGAGAAAAAAAATCAAGAACTTATTAGTAAAAGCTATCATGATTCCACAACCATCAAAGGTGCCCACTATGTGCCAGTGGGAAATGCTTCAGAATTTTATAACCAGAGAAGATCTCTACATTGCTGTGAATATTTTCAGAAAACCCACTGCATTCTTAACAAAAAGGGTTAACAAATTTGAGTTGGGGACCAGAAGCCAAATGACAATTATAACAAAACCCAGAGGCCACCAAGAAGAAGAAAATCCAGAATCCCCCATGTTTCTACAGTATTGCTTACTAATGCCTATATTATGATAGCACTTAATGATCACACTAGTCTGACCCCAACTGTGCAAGGTACCATCCAGACATATAATGAAGTTCCATCTTTGCCAACAGTCAGAAAGACAAGAAATAGCTGATGGGTGAGATAACAGAAAAGCCAAAGTAGGAAGCAGTGGGATAGGATTACTGCTTGAAAAACAGGATGTGCCCAAAGGTCAAAGCAAAGATCCACCTTGCTCAGGATTCTATCTCAGCATTTGCAGACCATAATCTGACTGAGACAAACATAGTTGCTATATATTTAGCTACCCATAAACATTTCTCTTCTATGACCTGTCCCACCCACCCCTGGACCCACCATAAGCCCCTGGCACCCAACGTATCCGTTGTTCCACTCAGCTACATGTGATTTGAAGAACCTTCTTTTGTTTGCTTTGAGCCTGGCAACTTCAGCTGTTGACAGTTTGTTCCTTGTCTCTGGATAAACATTGAAGAATCAATTCCCCACTTCATGTCATTCATGATTTTTGTTCTTCGTAGTAGAATAAACACCAAAGAATCAAGGAATCAATATTCCATATCCCCTAATCTTTAGTTAGCAGCAGTCATGGTAAATTGTCTTTTCTGGGCAGGTGCATCAATAGGTAGTTAAAATACTTTGAAAGAGATTGTGAAAGTATTAAAAACCCCCATCCTATAGACTAAATTATGCTAATAATACCAAGTTTATGGGAGCAGCCAAACTGCTTTGCCCATCATAGATTTATAGTAATCCATGCAGTATCTCCCCCCTGACACTCTTGTGTTAGCAGTGAGAAAATGTGGATAAAGAGCTTTCTATACCATCCCCCTCTCTTCCTTTTTCTGGCTGCCTGCAAGCCCCACGCTCGCCGTGGGAGCTTCTCAGCACCAACTCCACACTCCTCTGAGCCCTGAGGTGTTCTTGCCTCACCTTGAACCCACCGCCACAGTGAGCAGCCCACAGATGGGACAGCTACCAGCTAGCCTTAAATAATCCACATGACATTATTTATCACAGCAACACAGCAAAGAACAGAATCAACGTCCAAGAACTTAAGAATAAAAGCAATATTTGTCTTTTTCCTTGCAGTGATAGTGGAAAATTTGACTTGAGTGTTTCTTTTAAATCAAAATGATGACTCCTTCTATTTAAAAAACAAAAATCAGTAGAACGTGTTGGATTATAATGGTCTGTGGCAGCTAACTTAAAAAAAAATAATTTAAACTCCTTAGTTTAAAGAATAAAGATTATTTGCCAAGACCAAGGGGTTTTTTCTTCCTAAGACAATAAGATTTTCATTCATCTGTCTGTTCCTGCTCTCATGGAAGTTGCAAATAAAATTCTTATTATAAGGCCAAATCAGACATGGATAGGGACAAAATCAACGACATTCATGAAACTGTAGCTTCCCCTAAAACACCTGGCAAAAAATTGACAAGGAACCCACTGGTCAGCCAGGGAGAAATGCAAGCATATCACAAAGTAGAGGACCAATAAGCTCCAAAGAAACGTGAATATTCTGTTAGTGGATATGCCATCTTTACAAAAAATCCGCCCCCCCCCAATCTCTGACAGAATAAATAGGACTTAATTTTGCAATAATTCTTTCTTAATGTGATTATTGTGCACAGTCATGAAATCCCCTTTGTTTTTAAAAGCCAACAGTCCAAGGCATATGATACTTAGCTGATTCACAAGGTAGAAATAGAGTTCAGGAGTAAAAATTTCAAAGGTAAATTCAGGGGGAGAAATAAGTTATAATTCAGCACTAGTACGTTCACATCAGTGTCACATCTTCCTAAAAATGGCTAGATTTTAGATCTGCACAGAGCTTTTGAAGAATTTGCTCCTGAGCTCAGCTATTACCCACAACCTGCAAGATTTTCTTTCAGAGCCATAAGGAGGATCCAGTTTTGGGTCATGTAACCAAACATTCTCCAAGTTCAGGGAACCCCTGTCTAAGTGAGGATCACTATATCAACCTCAAAGCTGATTTAGAAGGTGTATTTTATCAGTCTCCTTAAACAGCTGCATTCATATCAATGGCAGTGAAATACAGTTACAACATCTGCAGCACGTTCAGGCCTAGGAGAGTGAATTAACATCTTTCAAGAGACGGTTGCATTTCAGACATCAGAGTCCTCCCTGGGAAAGGCAGAGGGAAACCAGAAAACCTCCCTGGAGATATTTACCCAAATGCAAATTCTGATCTTCCATGTCTTAATTCTTCAGAATCAGTCAGGTAACTAACTTTCCTTTTCCCTTTCCAGATAGAAATAGAGGATCCCAGTGACTTTTAATTAATAACATTCTAAATTCGTGGGCACATTTTACTTAATTCCCCTCCCTACTATTTGAAAAAGATACTTGGCTTAGTGTTCTTGCATTTGCTGCTACAATTCAAGGTAGGTGCCCTTGAAAACAATAAATAAACAAATGCTTGTATTGTACATTGAGAAACAGTTTGGAATCCTTTATGTGCTCAAAAAATTAGATCCTTCTATTAGAGGTCTTATAAAAATACAGGAGAATCATAACAGTGCTGCCTATCTCTGAGGTCACTCAACCTTCATTTTACTATTGCTGATAAGAGTCTCCTGAAGCTCTATTCCAGAGGAGAAAAGCATCTTACTCTCTTCTTTTAATATTTTATGCAGACAAAGTAATCTCTTTCCCTTGTCTCTCACTACATAAATTAATTTTCAAGATGCAGTTAAATGAGCTTTTACAAAGAAGGGATCACAAAAATGAAAAGATACAAAAATGGCAAAATGCTAGAGAAAGGACCATTATACAGAGATGTCACTGAGATGCCAGTGCAGCAATGCATCCCTCCGAAACAAATCTTTAAGTTTATGCTTTATGTCTGACATATGCTTAATCCCACTGATGTGTACTTAACACACATTTGCACCATTTGATAAACCTAAAGTAGCATTCAAGTAGTGTAAAAGAATCAGATCTAGATCCCTGAGAGAAAACACTCCTTGACCCAAAATTGTATATAAGAAAAGGCACGAGTCTCAGGAGACGGCCCTCTGCACAATATACCGGCCTGACTTAGGGAGTCCCACACTTTCATTTCAAGAGAGGCCCTTCTGCACCCAAGGCTCTTATTTGGTCAGTATCATGGGAAGATGGTTTCCCTGCTTTATTTTCTTTTCATTTTCATGCACTTTTTCCGATGTAAATTCTTCCTCTGTTGTTGATACAGATTTCCATTACAGTTTCCACACAGAGTAATTGCTTTTGCCTTATATTGGTAATGAAGCCAAATAGCAGAGTCACTGCCTTCTTTCTGTGTGCAGTGTGCCTGCAGATTGTAGAAACAGTGATATACATCCTCATGATGAATAACGTCTTTATCAAATCTGCATGTTTATCCACTCTGCTTAATTAACACCTTATCTTTTGAAAACTTAAGTACGCTAAGATTTTTACAGTGGCTATATATAAATTACACTGGGTGGGACTTTCATGACTTGTATGTGCCATTTTATTGAAAAAATTGAATTCTGCTTTAGCAAATACCAGCCAGGTTAAAAACAACAAAAACTCTTATGTCCATCAAATCAGCACCTCTTTATCTAAATATGCATTTAATACAAGAGGATGCTAATCATTCTGATTAATTGAAACTTCTGTCATATTAGGTAAACGGTAAACAGAACTTGTTCATACAATTAACATGGAAGCAGTGTGTGTTAGCTTAATGAAAAGACACCCACATATGCCAAATTATATTATTTTGCATTGACTGACAGAGCAAAAATACATTTTTAACACTGCATTTTAATCAGAATGTGATTTTTGACAGATAAAATATTAGTAATTTTTAAGTGCTTAGAGAAGGGTTTTGTATACATAATTTGAAATCTTTGTAAGAGCAGAATATTTATACACATGAAATGAACTGCAAGCAATCATAAATATGTGTAAGTATGTGTAGTCACATGATGTTCTCATAGGAGGTATCCTTTTAGAACCTATATAAAAGGTGACAATCATCTCTCACTTATATTAAAGATGAAGCAATTCACCTTTGTTGTAACACAGAATCAGCTTCTTGATCCACAAGTAGATACCAAGGGTAGAGAGAAACACAGAAACAGACGGAGTTTGGGAATCTCTGCATTAAAAAAATTATCAAAATTCATTCATTCTGGGTTTAACAAAATAATGGAGGCAATGCACCAAAACCCAACACTAGCTGTTCCTCAATATATCCCTGGAATTACTCCTCGAACGCTAGTATTTTGTTTACTAGTATATGCATCCGTAAATGTGTCCAAAAATCACAACTTGGGGCTCTTAAAATGCATGGCATTGCATAAAAATGAGGAACTTAGCTTAAAATAATTGCTGTGGAGATTTACTTCATTGATTTCCGATTAGTGAGCATTTAGGTTTTGAAAACTTGCTTTTTCCTCCACAATGATAAGGACTAGTCCTTTTCCAGCAAACCCAAAATCTCTCTTACCTCATACCGAGAAGCACATGTCGCTCGGGGAAGCGCTGACGGGGAGCTGACAGCCCTGGTAGCTGTCACAGCAAACCTGCCCCAGAAGGCTGAGACAAGGTGCCTGCAGCACCGATCCAAATGTACAACAGTGTAAAGGAGAAGAGATCTGGACTTAAAGCTAACAATAACAAGAGCACTTATCAGAAACCAAGCCACTTTTTCTTTAGTTTTCAAATACTGAACATTGCTCCTTTTGGCAATGCTATGACGCAGTGTAAATCAAATGTAACAAAACCCCTTAAGTACGGTATACACGAGCAGTTCTGTTCAGGCAAGGGCTGAAGAACTCCAGAGACTTTTCTTTTGTCATAGATTTCTTTCAAAGCAATTTAGTTTAAATGCTGATGAGAACATTTTCTATGGCATTATTATTCATGTTCTCCCAGTCACAGATATGCATTGCTGTTCTGCTTGGGGCTTTTTTCTTTTTGCTATTTTATACAGGTTTGATTTGAGAGGGTGAAAAACTAGTCAGGAACCATTGGTGCCCTCGAAGAAAAACTCATGTATATTATTAGGTCCTATTGACTCTGTCTGTTGTACATGTTGTCTGCATGGTTCATGGTTTTCACAAAGACAGATGCTTGCTGACCTATGATCTTGTCAGCATTTATGTTTACAGAGTATTTAAAGATAATGACTGTATGTGACCCTTGAACTAAATGTTCTGTTTTTAAAAAGTGAAAGAAAAACAAGGATAAGCAATGTCTTACCATAAATGAATTTGAAAGAACAGAGAAACTATCTACATATCCAGCCAACATTTATGTCTGATTAATCTCCAAGAATTTGACAGGCTAAACCTCAGTTTCTGTGTTTGCAGGACTGGAGCTAGGTAGTCAAGTGCACAGGTAATATACGGCATCAACACAGGGGTTACAGAACACCTGCCTGCATCACAAATCACACGGTGGAAAACAAAAGGGCAGGGCAGCTCCTCTGCTGCAAGGCAAACTGCAGATGATGTGAGGGGCTCAGTCACATAAGGTGGGCAGTTCACAGCCAGCAAGCTGCCTGGTGGGATAATTCATGTCGCTTGTACCTTGCTCACGGTGGCCTTATCCTAGAAAAACTTCACAAGCACACTGAGAGAGGTCTGCCGACTGGAAGGATTATTTTGCTAACAGCTGCAGTCTGGACATGCTGCCAGCCTTCTAGGGGCCGTGCTCTTACTCATGTCAGTAAGACCAACACATCTCTGACACGATACTCTTAAGAGCTACAACACTATGAAAGGTAATAATTCGTGGCTTGCAACCTCTACCATAATCATTCAAATCTGTTCCCCTTGTACTCCTAACTGGCCCCCACAAAAGCAAGCCACCAGCATGCAGGGGTGACGATCCTGCCACCAGCAGCAATGCTGGACGGAGCGTCTCAGTGCACATGCTGTGCAATTCTGGCTGGCTGGCAAGCCCTGCATTAGCAACAGTAGGTCCAGTCATATGACAGGAAAGGGTTTCCAGTATTTGGCTTTCTCCAGACAGCAGGAGAACTTCTAAGTGGCTGTCACAGGAAGAAAAATTGGAAACGTCTGATCTTGCAAAACTGGGAGCACTGTGGTTGAACACAGCTTGGTGAGATGGTTCCTGCTGAGCTGGATTGGGAGTATCTGAACCTTTTGCCTGGGCAGCAGTGCAGCAGCATATCTTCCTGGTACGCCAGCACTCACTTGTGTACCTGTGTTCGTGACGCTGCCTTGGCAGACTGCCTGGAAGAGTCACTCCCCCTCAGAAAACAGATTGTGATAGAAGTGCCCATTTGGGCACTGCTTAGAGTTTCCTTATTGCTTTCTGTAACATCCTCTGGGTTTTCTGCTGTTTCTCTAAACACAAAATGTTTCTGCTGCTTCTCTAAAAACAAAATGACACCCTGTTGCATCCCTATGTCCTGTTCTGGCTTTCCCTCAGGCAGCGCAGGCTCTGCACAAGGAGAAGGCAACCAGCAGGGCTGTTGGGGGCCTCTGTAGTCTGCAGTGGCTTCAGTTATGGACTAGGACCCCCTTGTGCTACCCTATGTACACAGAACAAAAAGAGCCCAAACAGCAAGCCGGAAGGCCAAAAGGGATATAATAATGCTAATAGAGTTTTGTGGACTTCCAATAGGCGTTAGGATATGTTCTGCTATATATAAGTGCTATAACTTTATTGTGCCTAAGCAGCCATAGAAAGATGCCAAAGGAAGGTGAATCAAAAAGAGTGATCAGCGTTAAGACAACATGAACTCAGAAGGAAACACGAGAGTGCAGGGCCTGGTTGGTTCAGGTGATATCATGATAAAAATATATGGCTAAAAGCTGGCTTTAAACACAGTGACAATATGAAGTGCATTTGCTTCTGATAACATTTTTGAAACTATAAAAGAAAGGCTCTGAGTCAGTGTTCCCTCTGACACTAAACTGACAGTCCTACCTGCAGATCCAACCTGCATTTGCATTCTGCATTGGTATTCTGACCTTTGGTGACCTTTATACCTAAAAGGTTACTTATTAGCATTTCATAAAACAATTATATGCCAGGTATTACATGTCTCTTATTTTAATCCACAGAATCATACCACATGTGCCTTTTTTTGACAAAGCACTTGTATTATTCTTTCTGTCACTTGTTGGATTTCACAGCAAGATTTTTCACTATACCTCAGATACTCCCAAACTCCACTGGACCATCATCTGAAACAGAAGTGTCTGAGAGATTAGGGAGCAATATACATTACAAAAAGCACAGCTAAAAGGAGAAAGGGGCCTGTATCTTAGCATTTGCCCAAGCACTGAAAAAACTATGAACAAAAGGTAATAATATCAGCTTAAAATATTGCAGTACTTCTCCCCACCAATGAACAACCCATTCTCTACTTGCTCCTGTTCCTTGCAAAGCAAATGCAAACTGTTAAATCAGATGCCCTTCATCAGGCAGGTTCCCAAAAAAAGAGTTGTGCCAATACCACAGGAGGCCACGCACCACAGAGCAGAGGCAAGCGTGGGGGAAGCACCTCTAGCTGGTACTGTCATCAGAGGCTCTGGCTTCTGAAACCATATTCTTATTCTGGTCTGGATGGAGACTGCTGCTGTACTTGGTTACATGAGGGAATTTAATTGTCCTTAAATGACATGAAATTAAAGATGGCAATTATACCCATCACCTTCAAAGAGATTTTAATTTGATCCATCCCACTAGCCAGTACATCTGTATATATCCATTTTGGCATATTACTAATGTGTTTAATGGAAATAAACCAAGCCATGTGTTTTATGTTAAAACAAAGAGCATGAGATCTTGGTTACATGGCAATAAATAATTTCAATGGAATTTTATTTCAGCCTGGTATTATCTTGTGGGTCTTACAAAAAATCACAAGATACTCCTTCTCTGTGTCCAAGAGTTGTCCTGTATATTAGATGCCTTATTATTAATTTAACCAGTAATTTATTCAGATACTATTAAAAATTGTTTTGGGATGCTTCTGCTAGTGAGAATAGTGAGAATCTTTTTCAAATCTTTCACTTGTAAAGAATTAATTTGAAGTAATTTATTGCTACTACTATTTAACATACCCTCCATATTTATGCAGGACAGCTGCACAACTTATGGTAAATTACTAAACCTCAGAAAGTGATCTGTAGTTCAAAGATTTCTTTGTTACTGACTATGAACAATAAGAATATTAGACACTGTGTTAAATGCATAAATAGACTCAGCTGACTTAGCAAACATGTGACTAGCACACTACTGCTCAGAAATTTCTTGTAAAGTATAAGGTATGAAGCCAAAAAGGAAGTATAATGCAATATGTTCTTTAAAGTTATAATGGAACATCTGAGAAAGAAAACACAATGCAGTATGACTTACTCTGTAACTAGTCTAACCAGAAAAAATAATTATAGTCAGCTCTCCATTAATACTGGGTGGATTATCAAATTTGGAAATACATTTGCTAAGGATGCACAACAGCTGCCTTGTTTCCAAACAGGCCAATTAACGCTGGCAGGGTTTATTAACTCACGCACAGCACCATCCATGTTCAGCACTGCTGCTTCCAGCCCTGAGCTGGCACTTGGCAGTCAGGTGGGAAAGGACTTGGGCAAACCTGGAAGTAGGGCACTGAGACCCTCCAGTCCTACAGAAGCACAGTCCCCAGCTGCCACCTCACACTGTGGTCCCTCCTGTCACATCAGCAAAGGCAGTCTGGGGAGGACGTATGTGACTGGCTGGTTACCAAGGGATATTCCTGACCAGCCTCAAATAGGAACAAGACTATCACATGTACAACCCCAAATTCAAGTTTGAAGATGTGCTAATTTCTGCAAAACTGCAGTAGTACCAGCAGATTTTACATCACTTTGCTAAGAGATTCATATAGCAGACAAATCTTGAGTTTACAGAACAATCCAAACTTTCTTCTTCTTTCCTTTAAAATTGTTCATTCTCTCAACTATGAGACTTTTGGGCTACATTCAGGATTTTGCTGGAAGGAAGCACTATCTTTTCTTAGAAACAGTACAGTTAGCTCACGTAATGAATTAACTTCATATCAATGCTCAATTATTTATTGATTTTATTTGATACTATTAATTCTCATTAGTTTTATAAACAGTATGTATCAATTTCATTTTGGCCATTCCAGGGTTTTTACCTTAGAAGTTTTCACATTCTAAGAGGCATTTATCTTAACATAATCAAGTAATCTGTAGGTTACAGAATATGCACATCAAAATTAATTGGACTGCTTACTGGAAGTGTTCTCCAGCTCAGTTTCTACAGCTGTGACAGGTTTTTTGAACATTCAAATGACTGATTCCAGGTACTGTGTCTGCTGTTTCCCTATTCTCTTTCTGTATGTACAATGTTCCCATTAAATTTGATTTTGAACAATAGCTGTCAGAGTGCTTTTCACTAGCAAGACTTTTTGTAGTAACCGAGTATTGCGTTCAATACCTGAATTTAGAAGACAGAAGCTGAACTGTTGTTAGTCTGCTGTTAGCACTGCCCAGTGCAACGAGCAGCTCTGGGACCACACAATGTCACTCCACTTCTCTTTCAGACAGGGATAAAATACTGTGCAATGTAAAGCTACCAAGACAGCTCTGAAGAAGCTACCTCCGGTACTAGATGCAGCACAGGTACCACAGCGTGCCCCAGAAATGCCACGTGGAGCTGAACTGGCCAGGCCTGGCAGCCCAGCCCTGCAGCAGTGGTGCGGTGCACAGAAACCCATGACACCCAGAGACAGCTGCTTCTTGTGTCAAAGGCTTAAATACCCACTACCCAAAGGTCCACTTATACACAGAGGTACCTAATTCTTTTATAATATCATTACTGTTGTCTAATCAAATTCTCAAAGTGTTTGGTGGTAGTACTATGGGTTATTTTAATTATTTTAGAAAAATTATTTGAAGTTACCAAGACTGAAGAATAATTCTTGAGACCTAATAAAACTAGGTGACTGGGAAATTAATTGCAATTATCAGTAATACAAGGAAAAAATAATTTCAATTATTAGTAGGCAAGATTTTAATATTTTTTTTTAAAAATCAAAACCGCCTGGACTGTATTAGGAAAGTTCGATAAAAATGTTTTTGATCACTATAAATAAGCAATTCACCAAGTTTATAGCTGTGTAAGGAATGATGCAAAAAAGAATGACAGATAGTAAAAGGGTCACCCTTCAGTAGTTACTGGAGTGCTTTTTGTTTTATTTAAATAAAACTAGTAGAACCTGTTCCGGCTATCCTCAATTTTGTAATGACAACAGACTTCCACACGTGAACCTTAGACTAAACAAAGCCACCAAGAGGAACAAGATAAGACCTTAAAGGTTGTAGCTCCTGGGAGGGAAGACAATCTGAAATAAAACCACAAACCATGCTGTTTTTCTTGGTGAAGGACATACATCAGTCCAATGGGGAAGAGCTGTTGCTGGACTATTTCAAGACTAGAGGGGGGAAAAAAAGGGCTGAGTTGTAACAGAAGTATTTGGGAAATACTAAAAAATGACCTGAAGCTACTTTAACAGATACAGAAAATCTTATAAAGCATGGTCTTTCTCTTCCTCAGTGCATTTCAAATAATGTTTTCAAAGTATCAGAAGAAAGAAAAATAAGACTTTAACACACATTGACAAAATTGGCTCAGAAGCGGTCATGGATTCTTAAGTCTAATGCCTTCATATTCTGAGGCAAAAAAAATTTGACCTCTTTCTACCATTCTAACATTCTCTGAGACAACATTATTATGATAAAGCCATATCTATTTTTGTTTTCTCGTTATCTAAATATATACTGTCATACTCAGTATTTTTGGTACTAGCCAGGGATTTTTATTATGGCTCAGTGTCTTTATTCAGGCAGGAAAAGTGGACTGAACGTGAGAACTCTGTTCTTACTCAAGGGTCTGGAACAGGGAGTCCAGCTTCAGGACCAGCAGAGCAGAGTCATACCAAGGCTGGCTTGGCACGCTGGGTTAAAGGTTCTGTCACAAGCTTCAGAAGCAATACCAATCAATGTCAGACCCACAGAAATATCTTAGCCAGAATTACAGGGTTCAGTGATCATTTCTCATACATAATTAAAGAAAACAATCATCCAGCTGATCTGCAAAACTTTCCTACGACCACCTGCTTGTGTAGTCTTTTAATCAGCAAAAGATCTGAAAAAAAACCCTCACCTGTATTAACAATCACCTTTCTTGCCATATAAAATGTTTGCTAGTGTTAAAGAATGATGGAAGTGGAAAAATCCACTGGGATTTAGATGCAAAAAGCAGGTACTTACCATAATGTCAAAGCTGGCCAATGCTAATGTTTGGAGTTCTTTTACAACTCAAGCTGATTTTTTAAAAATATTATTTTACTTCTTTTAAAAGACAGCAGCAACATGAGTTATCTGAAGACGGTGAAATTTATTTGAAGATTATAACATCTTGTAATTTTACAGCCAGTATTTTTGTTTGCATATTGTTTAATTGGCAGGATTCTTCCTAAACTCTTCAAAAATGTTTTTTTCTTAAACAGGATTCTGGTTTTGAGTGTGTCCATTTTTGTCTTAAGCCACAATGGAACAACAAAAGCTGCATATAACAAGCACAGAGCAACTGATCTGCAGATCAGAAACTCAGGGCTTTTAGAGAAACTGAGGCATCCAAAAGCGGCGGTCATCCTTCAAAAATGTGAAGGTAATGAAACACCATGGATCAAGCAAGACTCTGCTTACTTTGAAAACATTAGCTCTGTTCATTTAACTAAGCATCTGAATTGTCCAAATGCTGACATTACCCACCGCCGTTAAGACAGCAGTGAAATGGTAATAAAAACATGGGTTTATATTTGAAGGATCAGTAACTTAGAATGCATCCCTTCTAACCCTGCCAAGTGTAGGGACCTGGCTGAGTGGATTGACCTTCCTGGAGCGCTCTGCGGTCCCAGTTTTGCTTGCAGAGTTGTCCATGAACAAGAATGAACGCAGATGCCACGAATGAGGGCAGCTCGTAAGCAGGTCAGCCCGTGGCTGCACTGGTCATAGGAAATGGCCGCCCTGGGGTGCTCTTCTGAGCCGCCCGGGGCCCAGTAGCCTGGCTGACCCAGCTGGCAGCCCCCAGCCCTGCCGTGGCCCTGAGGAGAGCCGCCACACCCCGAGGGGCACCACAAAGGGCTCACACACAGCTGCAGGTCCTCAAGGCCCACAGGCCTCGCTGGAGGCTGCGATCTTCCCCTCACTTCCATCACCGCAGCCAGGGAGATCTACCTCCGCTGAGAGGGGATCCCACTGCCCCTGCTGCATCTCGCCTCCCGACACCCCCCTGTCCAGGGGACGAGCCCACGAGCGGGGCTGCGAGAGGCCATGCCAGCCTCTGCTGCCCGCAGAAGGGGCGGAGGGGAAGGGGCGCCCTCCACCTGGGGCCTCCCTCCCGCCGGGCGAGGCGGCCGCGGCGCCGGCCAGGCCCGAGGAGTTAATGGCGGCAGGAAGCCACCCCCGGCCTGCCGCCGGCCCTCCCCGTGAC